CAGCTCCCAGCGTGGCTCGGGTGTGTCACCCTCCTCGCCTGGCTCCTCAGCCGGCTCCGGCCCCTCGCCTGGCCACATCGCCCTGGGAGCGCCTGCCAGGAAAGGACGTGAAAGGCCCTGGCCCCTGAACCAGTCAGCCCCCGTGCCTGGGGCCAGATGGGAGTTGGTGCCCCTTAGAGGGGCAGGCCCCGTGCCCCATTCCCCACCCCGCTGAGCCAGCCAGTCCCCACCCTGGGGCTGGATGGGAACCAGTGCCCCCTAGAGGGGACAGGCCCTGTGTTCCATTCTCTTTATGCCATTCAACAGCTACTCAAGTGTGTGTGTGACATTGTGTGTAACGGGGAGGAGGGGGGTGTTTTTGTGGCGTGTGTGCATAATTGCAGTGTGGTGTTTGTGTAACAGTTGGGGGGTTGTGAGCTGTGGGTATTGGGGGCGTATTTGAGGGATTTTATGACGTGTGTCTTGTGCGCTATGTTGGGGGGCATCTCTGTGCTCCGGTGGTGCTGTGTGCTGGGCAGGAGTATCTGTGGTGTCTCTGTGTGTAGTTGTGAAGTGTAGGGTGTGTGATGTATGGCTGTGTGGTGTCATTAACCTTCTAGTGTGTGCAGTTGTGCAGTGTGTGTTGGTGTGTGTGGGCATGGTGTTTGCATGTTCCTGTGTTCACTTTGTGTGTGTGTGTTTGCTGTGGGTAGTTGCTGTGGAAAGTGAGAGGGGTGGTTGTGGTGTGTGTGTGTACTTCCTCTCTGTGTTGTGTGTGTGTTTAGTTGCTGGGGGAGAGTTGCAGGGTGGGTGTGTGTAGTTGCTGGGGGGGCGTGTAGTTGCTGGGATGAGGGTTGCGGTGTGTGTGTGTGTGTGTGTGGTTCCTGTCTGTGTTTTTATGTGTGTGTATGTGTAGTTGCTGTGGGGGGGGTTTGTGGTGTGTGGGTGTGTGTAGTTGCTGTAGGGGGTGTTTGTGGTGGGTGTATAGTTGTTATCTGTGTTGTGTGCTTGTGTGTAGTTCCTGTTGGGGGTTGTGGTGTGTGTGTGTGTGTGTGTAGTTCCTGTCTGTGTTGTGTGTGTAGTTGCTGGGGTGTTGTGGTGTGTATGTGTGTGTATGTGTGTGGTTGCTATGTGGGGGGGTTGCAGTGTGTGTATTAAGTTCCTGTCTGTGTTGTGTGTGTAGTTGCTGAGGGGGGGTTACGGTGTGTGTGTGTGTGTGTAGTTGCTGAGGGGGGATGGGTTGCGGTGTGTGTGTTTAGTTCCTGTCTGTGTTGTGTGTGTGTGTGTAGTTCCTGTCTGGTGTGTGTGTGTGTAGTTGCTGGGGGGGGGTTGTTGTATGTGTGTGTAGTTGCTGTGGGGGGTTGTGGTGTGTGTGTGTAGTTCCTGTCTGTGGTGTGTGTCTGTGTGTTGTCGCTGGGGAGGGTTGTGCTCTGTGTGTAGTTGCTATATCTGTGTGTCTGCATTTGCTGTGGGGTGTGTAGGCTTGATGTACACCCTCACTCTGTCCTTCTCCCCCTTCCAGTCCCAGAGTTCCTGCCCCGCAGCCTCTCCCCCCCCCAGCCCTGTCACCTACCTGCTGGGGCCCACTGTGGGGTGGGCTGTGGGACGACCCTTCCCGAGGCCTGGAGACGGGGTAGCCGCAGGGGAGCATTGGCCCCAATCCCAGGGGTTAATTATAGCTGGGTCTGGGCAGGCCGGGCTCCCTGCCAGCCCTCCGCGTGTCCTGGGCCCCATACTGCCCTCCCCTTGGACTGCAGCCCTGCGGCCAGGAGCTTCTGGCCAGGAGCCCTAAGCCTGGAGGCCCCTGGCTGTGGGGAGTGGGTGGGATTTCTGGGGCCAGGGAGGGATGTCCTAGCCTTTTTATTGCCCCCCTCCCCTGGTGGGGATTCGCCAGTGGGGAAGGACAGAAGTTCGCAGGCGCTGGTGTCTAGGAGTCCAAAGCACAGGGGCTTCAGGGGGTAGATGGGGAGTGGGGTCTAGTGGTTAGAGCAGGGGGACTGGGAGCCAGGACTCCTGGGTTCTGTCTCTGGAGGGGAGTGGGGCCTAGTGGTTAGAGCGGGCGGCTGGGAGCCAGGATTCCTGGGTTTTGTCTCTGGGAGGGGAGTGTGGCCTAGTGGTTAAAGCGAGGGGCTGGGAGCCAGGATTCCTGGGTTCTGTCTCTGGAGGGGAATGGGGCCTAGTGATTAGAGCCGGGGACTGGGAGCCAGGATTCCTGGGTTTTGTCTCTGGGAGGGGAGTGGGGTCTACTGGTTAGACCCCCATTGGAGCATGATCCCCCCCCCCCCATGGGGGCTGGGCAGCGCCGGGGGATAAAGGCGCTTTTCCCAGCTGGGGTCGGAAAAGTTTGTTCAAATTAGTTTTTCCATCAGAATGTAAAGAGCCGGAATAGAACAAAGGGGGGGCGGGGAGGGGAGGAGTGGTGGGGGAGGGGGAGGGGGAGTTCAGAATGATAGACAGGTTGGAGTGGATGGAGGGGTGGATGTGGAAGGACAGTTGTGTGGGGGGTGCGAGGTGAAATGGAGTGGGAGAGGGGGTGCTGGATGGGGTGTATGGGATGGGGAGATGGGATGTTTGGGTGGGGGGTGGAGGATGGGGTGGGGGGGATGGGATGGCTGGGTGGGGGATGGGGTGTATGGGGTGGAGGGTACAGGATGGGTGGGGGATGAGCTGGCTGGGTGGGGTGATGAGATTTGTGGGTAGGGTGCTCCTAAATTCGTGCCCCACCTGCTGTCTCTGCTGGGGTTCCCCACCCTCCTGCGATCCCCTGGGGCTAGTTTCCAGCTGAGCACCTAGAGCCATTTTGGGGAGGAGGTAAGAATTTTTGCAGGAGGACACATACCTACCTCATTGTCAAAGGTGCCTGTGGGGCTTGCGCCATGGGGCTGTACAGGCCTGGCACTCTGCTTGGCCTGCTTGCGGAGCAGCGTGTACCGAGGAGAATCCCCCTCGGCAGTATGGGGCAAGGACAAACACACACCCCAAGCAGGGCCCGTCCCCTCCATCAGGGGGCGCACGGACACACAAGCCCTGCTTGGGGTGAATTTGTGCTGCCTCACACACCACCCCCTACCCATCACCCCATGGATCCTATCCCCACACAGCTCCCTCCCGTTGGCGATTCCCCTGGGCCTCCAGCCCAGCCCTAACTGCCCCCCACCATGCACCGGGGTGGGGGGTGTCCTCTGGCTCCTCTGCCCTGTCCCGTGGCCCTGCCCCAAGCAGAGCTGGGCGGAGTGGGCCCCAGTGGAAAGAACGCGGGACTGATAAGCAGAGCAAACAGGGGGGCCGGGGCTGATGGAAAGTCTCCGTGTTTGGAGAGGGTGTGTGTGGGGGGGGATTAGGGGCAGGGCGGTGGGGCCGGCCGGGGGCTGCCTGGGCCGGTTCTGGAGGGCCCGGCCTGGCCTCTCAGCCTGGGCCCTTTATAAGGCAAGGAGGGGCTGGGGAGAGGGGCACAGGATTGAACTCAGGGCCAGCGGAAAGGTAGCAGGTACTGGGGGGCGGAAGGGCGGGATTTTCTGTCCATCTGCATCTTCTGCCACCCTGAGGAAAGGGAACCCAGGAGTTCTGGCTCCCAGCCCCCCAGGCCTGGGAGGGGAGTGGGGTCTAGTGGTTAGAACGAGGTGGTGATGTGGGACTGGGAGGCAAAACTCCTGGGTTCTCTCCTAGCTCTGGGAGGGGAGTGGGGTCTAGTGCTTAGAGCAGGGGGAGGGGCTGGGAGCCAGGACTCCTGGGTTCTATCCCCAGTTTCACAATCTCTAAAATGGAAAGAACAACTCAGAGAGAGAGAGAGAGAGCATGTGTGTGTGTCCCTGCTGCCTCCTGCTGGCAGGGACAGGCCCTGCTCAGTGAGTGGGGTGGGGTGAGTTTAACCCTTTCCTGCCCAGAGTACTGGATTCCCCCCTCACCCCCAGGTGGACCTGGCACCTCCATGGACTCCCCGGCCTACAAGACGGTTCTGGCCTTGGGCCGGTTCAAGGTGCGGAAGCTCCAGACGGGCCCTACCCTGGACAAAGGCAAGGAGGGGGCAAGCCCCCTGCCGTGCCCCCCGGCCCCGTCCATGGAGGGCTCTGGCCAGGCGGATGAGGGGGGCTCCCTCTCGGCTCCCCCGGACTACGCGACCACAATGGACGTCAGTCCCTGCTACGAGTTCTATGCCCAGTCGGCCCCCCCTGGGCGGGCCCGCAAGAGTCGCCCCTCGCTGGAGGTGCTGCGCAACGTGGTGAGCACTGGGGGCACTGTGTGGAGTGGGGAGAGGGGAGGCCCAGTGGGGGGTGCTGTGCTGCAGGGAGTGGGGGTGGGGCTCGGCAGGGGGCGCCGTGCTGCAGGGAGCTCGGAAGGGGGCGCTGTGCTGCAGGGAGCAGGAGGCTCGGCAGGGGGCGCTGTGCTGCAGGGAGCAGGGGGCTCGGCAGGGGGCGCTGTGCTGCA